CTCGTATTTCAATCTAGTAATTGGTTCTACTAAAATAAGGTGTATATTCACTAGTCAGTAAATATATTCAGTTCATATGTGATAGACAACAGACATAGCAAACAGTTTCAATGTCAAAGCAGCATGAAATCAAATACGCAAACATCAAAAGATGAATACCTTGTAAGTCTTGAATTAAAAAACGTCTAGATCTACAAAACATTCAGGCTGCATGATGAAAATGCTCATACTCCATAATACCAGAGACAGTACCACCTAGAATTACAATCTTTGGGCTATAGATCTCAACCTTAAGACCTGAACATGACATCTAAACCTAAATACCTGAACCTGCTTATGTTTTAGGATGAGAAAGAAAGGCATTACATATCCTGCTAACATTCATTGTTGATGTAACATTCATTACTGTATCTAGCATAAATCTCTCTTTATACAACAGTTAGCTGTGGTGCTCTAATTTGATTGGCCTGCATCAAATTAACATGTTTTTGTTTACTGTACATATCGCTCTGCTTGCCTATGTTTATAGTGAATCAGTCTCTGTGTTGCTTGTCAAAATCCATTTGCCTTCTTTAAAAAAAAAAGAAGTTACTTAGTTAATGAATTACTTGATATTAACTTCTTGTTTACTGAACTGTTGTATAAAAGAAATATCATCGCAATTGTGCTGTTGGCCTTGTGTACTGTATATTCAACATTTGCTCATTCTTTGCATATAAGCTGCAATCCTGAATGAAATAAGCACAGCATGGAATGGCAAAGCCTCAAATAATGTTTTGAGATTTTTGACATATATCAAGCATTCTGAGAGAAAACGGGAATGTTGTCGCCTTTCCAGAGCCAGACCAGCAAGAATACTGCTCACATTTGTTGTATTTGTGCTCAGAAGGGGTTGAGGCGTATACCCGTCCCCAACGGAGAGAAAGGGTTTACTTTTGCCCACATCAGGGCATCATTTAGTGAAATGGCTGATTTGCCGTCTTCTAGGAAGAATGCTGGACCCTGCCAAGCAAATAAAGACATATGTAAGTTCAGTGATATTTGTGTAGTGCTAAAGACTACCCATAAGAAACCCACCTGTATCCTGAGGCCAGTGAAGCAAGAAATCTGGACATCAGAGTGGCTGGGCAAGTTAGAGCCAGTGACATAGTCGGGACCCTCTAGGCCCTTGATGGGCTCCTCTCTCATTCGACTCAACAGCTGGCTGTACTCCGTTTTCTGGGCCTCAGATGGTGGAGTGTAAGAGGTGTCATCTGCCACTCTGTGTATGTGTAGAGAGAACGAGAACAATAGATTATTTTTCAAGTCTCTTCAGTTGTCAGCAGAGTTATAAGATCTGTCGCAAAACCTAGTGAGGTTTAGTCTTGCTGTCTACTGCCTACATAGGCAGGTTCCTATTAAAAGCTATCCAATCGAGTGTACTTTGATAAGCTATGTGTTGAGAAGTACGCATACGCTAAGCCTTTCAAGTCAAAACAAAAGTATATTTTAGGCTTATTCCTCATGTTTTGTTCTGGTCATTTCGACCTAGAGAGGATATTTTATTTGATCTAAATTAATGTTATCGCAGTTGGACTGAGCAAAGAATTATTGACTTTGCTCACACAGGGTATAACAACTTATTAAACATTTTTTGGCTTTTTTTTCTTCTTTTTTTTACACTGGTGTTCCCAAGTCAAAAATGACTGGGCAACAAAAAATGCCATGTTATTGTCAAAAATAGGATTCAATCTCTTTATCAACTTTTTTTCTTTCAGTTAGGACAGGTTTTTTGTTTCTTTTTGGAACCGACTGATTGTAGGCCTCGTTGACGTGAGCTTATGCACCTTAGTTTTTTGAGGTGAATAAACTTGAGTGAACTTTTTTCCACTCAAACATTAAGGTGAATAAGCTCAGATCAATGAAGCCCATTCAAATTCAATTCAATTCAATTCAAGTTTATTTGTACAGTGCTTTTCACGATACAAATTGTTGCAAAGCAACTTTACAGCAAATTAAGTTTCTACAATATTTAGTGGTAGCTTAGCAGTGGTGACTGTCAGTTAATGTACATATGGCAGAAATGTACGGAAAAATCAATTAAAGACGTTATGATACCCATGATAAATAAATTCCAAAAAGAAATACAAAACCTGTGCTAATTGAAAGAAAACAAGTTAACAAAAAGACTGAATCCAATATTTCATGATACAAATGCCTAATGAGAAATTTACAAGCAATTTAAACGACTGGTTGTTTTTGACAGAGAACACCAAATTAGGTAAATGATTTTCAACACAGCACAAGGGTTAAGGCAGCACCCTAACAGCAGTGTATTCTGGGAGTGCCTTTTCCATGAGGGATAAATATGGTCCTAGCTTGGAAACTGGGGGAAAAAAAATATAGCAGCATAATTTTGCTGCATGTTGTTTGGAATAGCATATGATGCTTTAAAATACTGACTAGGTAGATCTTGAAACATTGCTGTTTTGTATTATGAATTAGAGTAAGGCACTGTGGTACAGACTTGAGGGATTGTGTGCAGGCTCTCCAGGCATCCAACTCTATGGACAACTGCTCTATCTGCAATGGCACAGCCACTTCTCTCCGCTTTAGCAGCTGACTAAGGGAGAAAGATAGAACGTCATTAATTGCAACCACCAGTAATTGAGTTGATATAAATCCCTAAATACTTGATATAAATCCCACAGTTAACATACCTTGTGTATTCATACAGTGCTGGCACTATCCTTGAATACTGTCTCCCAATGGCTAATAGTGCACCAATATACCCACAGAGAATAAGCAACTCATTGCGTTCTCTAGCCAAAGGCAGAGAGAGAGAGAGAGATAGTGAGAAGATCATAGAATGACCATGGAAAGCTACTATAAATGACATCACTGACAGGTGTTTTTGAGGGAATGAAACTGACTTACTCACTACTCTTTGGAAGAATAAGACGGTCTGTTCTGATGTAGCTCAGCAGGTCTAGGATGTGGTACACAGAGTCCACTGTCCAGTCAGTAGAGCTCAGCTGCTCTATTGAGGGGAGAGAGAGTTAGTAATCTATTGTTGGCTGTATTAAGATCTTGTCTTCAAGGCAACAATTGTGCCTTCGGATAACAAAATCTTGTGATGTCATCATGAATTGCTTATTGTATTTAGGTAGAAGGTTTACACTGTAAAAAAAAAGGCAACCAGGCAATCTTGAGGTAATTAGCTTCAGGACTTTTTGTATATTCAACTTATGGAAAAAATGTTGCATCAACTCAATTAAAGTTGGTGTGGGCTTTCAGCAAACTTATAACGTGTTCTAGAAACTCAAAAATACCAATGTTTTAAAAAAAATTTAAATTTATGCATCTAAGGTTGATAAGCTTGCATATTAAGTTGAGCTGATTAACATTACATAATAGTTATGTAGAACTTTCTTAGTTTGTCTAATTGTGTTTCAGTTTGTTTAACAAACTGAAAAGTTATATAGAGTCTCACTTATATAAGAAACTTCACTGAAGGGAACACTAAACACTATGGTGACTTGAAATATAACACTTTAGCAACAAAATAAAATCAAACATTTAGCTAAAATTGTTACATTGTAATTTCTTGCTGTTTAATATTTTAATTTGCTCATACTAAATTGCCTTTATTTTGTTGTTTTTTGGCCCTCTTCGTTTAGGAGTCATACTTGGCTCCTTCATGGTCAAAAGTGACCAAAGCCTTGAAATTTAACTTTTTTTATTTTCAGTAAAATCAATGTAATGTTCAATAATATTTTTTTTAATTTTGTATTTTGAGAGAATTTTATGGTACTGATGAATGTTTATGCAATAATTATATATATATATATAAGTTGTTTTGTTATTATGTGTGAATAAAGACTATTTAGTTGTTTCAGTTTATTTGCTCAATAAATAACAATACAATTTTTAGTTTTAAAAAAGTTTTTGACAGGTCTAATAAATTTGTTAAGCACTGTGTGTGTGATATATATATATATATATACACACACACATATATATATATATATATATATAGAATGAGCGTGTACTGGAAATAGCACTGCAATGAAATATGAAGTTGAAAAAGTTAGTCACAGATACATCAACAGACACTCACCTTTGACATACATGATCCCAATGGGAAGAGCTTTTTCTGGTTCTGGGCTCAGGAGGTAATACTTTACTGCTTGAAAGATTTCTCCCTCAGCATGTGCACTTTCAGCAAGTTTTTTACATTCCTCTAAAGTCGGTAGACCACACTGAAAAAAATTAAGAGTATTATTATAAATAATTATACTTAAATGAATGTCTGCCTTTGCAGAAAACATTTACCATTTTCACTTCAAATAATAAACACTATACATTCTTGTTTGGTTCTTCACACTCAATGTGTGAATGATTTTTATTTGGTTAAGGTTGAGCATTGGGATGTATAAATGAAGTAGTTACCTTTTCGTGCAGGTTGTTGATTTCGGCAGAGCTGCCAGGGTAGAAGGCACACAGTTTGGCTAACAAGATCTCATTATCAGGGATCATTTGGAGTAATCTGGCAGCAAGATCCCTGGGGAGTAGAAGACCCAATTCAGCATGAGTAAAGTACAGGGGAAAAGTGGACAAACGTCTCAAGGTTACATATGTAACCCTAGTTCCCCAAGGGAACGAGACGCTGCGTCGAACGCTTTGGGAACGCCTTCAGCGTGACCATGCTCTGAATCGTGTGTGTAATCAGACCAATGAATGGGCGCAACGTCACGGACGGGGTGACGTGTGACCAGGAAGCTATAAAAGCATGTGAGGTGGAGACAGCGGCAGCTTCCGGAGAATAACTACGGCAAGAGGACGGAGGAACCAGGAGCGGTACAAATGTCAAGGTCGTAGAACCTGACGAAGGTGAGTGGAGTAGACCAGCCCGCAGTGTTACATATATATTCTGCATAGCCACACCTGACAGGAAGGCCTTAGAGGCCGCCACACTTCGGGTGGAGTGAGCCTTGACCCCTAAGGGTGAGGGAAGGCCAGAGGACTCATATGACATAGTAATGGCATCAACAATCCACCTAATGAGGGTCTGCTTAGTGGCAGGCAGACCCCTCTTGGAAGGACCATAACAAACAAATAATTGGTCAGACTTCCTCCACATGGCAGCTCTGTGGACGTACAAATAAGCTTCTGCTGGTCTGGGTCCTGGAAGGGAGGAGGACAGAAAGCCTGTAGGATGACGGGCTGTGGCACAGAGGAGGGCCC